CAATGCATGGCAATTTTGGCGGTGACGTATAGAGGTCCAGTGGAAACGCACGAAACTCCGATGGTTACGTTCGATGTTGTTTTCTGCATGGTGGTACTTTCCCTGTGAATGATTATTTATTTCTAACAATGATATTTCTTTTTATTTTTCTATTTATTAGTGCACAATCTATAGATTCGAGATGACATCCACGAAGTATAAAGTAAAAAATTTTGATGGTAAAACAAGTTTCAGTTTATGGAAAATTAGAATGACGTCATCCCTAGTACTATAACGTTTATGAAAAGTAATTGAAGAAAGATTCCCAGATGGTATAAGAGAGATAAAAAAGATAGATCTACAAGATAAAGTCATATGTGTACTTTTCATGAGTGTAAATGATAATGTTATGTAGGAAATTATTAGGAAAATTTATCATTTAATTGCATGGAAGAACTTAGAAGAATTATACTCTGCAAAATTGTTGACAAAAAACCTTTATCTAAAGAAGAGGCTATAAAATATGAAAATGATTGAAGGTACATCAATTCAACATCTTGATGAATTCAATTATATCATTATGGACTTGAATGATATAAATATCAAGCTCTATAATGAGGATCAGAATCTAATTGCATTGTGTTCACTAGCACCATTATATGATATATTTATTGACACTCTGCTGTACAGGAAAGACAACATTTCCCTGGATGATGTTAGTAATGCATTAAAATTAAATGAGTTGAAAAGAACTTCCCAGATTATAAAACAGAAGAAGAGAGTTTGGTGGAAAGGGGAAGAACATAAAGAAGGAATAAGTTAAAGGGTAGATTAAAATCTAGAGCTAAGAAAGAAAATTGTTTTGAATACGAGTAAGGTCATTTTAAGAGAGATTGTCCCAAGTTGAGAGAGAAAATGGGAAAGAAGTAAGAGAACTCTACTAATTTAGTCAGTGCAAATAATTCTGATTATAGTAATAATAGTAGTGCTGGAGAAGTCATATTTGTGAGTTCTGATCATAAAAAGAATTCTTAAATTCTTAATACTGTGGCTGTATTCTATATGTGTCCATAAAAACATTAGTTTTGTACATACAAACAGATGAATAGTACTGTGTACATGGGAAATAATAGTCCATTGACTGTAAATAGAATTGATGACTTCAAATTAAGAGTGTTTGATAGAGCCATCAGAACCATCGAATATTGGTATGTTCCTTAGATGAAGAGGAACTTGATTCTCTTTCTATTATGGATCCTCAAATGTACATATTACAAGCAGAGAATGATATTTTTAAAGTGTGCAAAGGCTCAATAGTATTAATGAAATGCAGTTTAGAATCTAAATTATATACTTTTTAAGCCAATATAATTTTAAGGGAAGCTGTTGTAGCATCATAGAACAGTTATCAAAATTAGACTATCCTGTGGCATATGCACCTAGGTCATATGAGCGACAAGGGACTTTTTGTGTTAGGCAGACAGAATTTGTTAAACGATTATAAAAAAAAAAAGTTATGAATTTTTATGAAGGGAAATAGACCAAGGTGAAGTTCAACAAATAGGCAACGCACAAGACTAAGGATAAGTTGGATCATATCCATTTTAACTTATGGTGTTCATACAAAGTTCCCTTCAAAAATATTGTCAGGTATTTTATGACTCCGGTTGATGATTATTCTTGGATGGTTTATGTATATTTTCTTAAGTATAAGAAAGACGTATTTCCAACTTTTGTCAAATGGAAGACCATCATTGAAAAGCAAACAGAGAGAAAATCAAGTGTCTTAAAACTAATAATGGGTTGGAATTTTACACTCATAAGTTTAACAATTTCTGCAATACAAAAAGCATAATGAGACACTGCACTTGTGTTGGGTCACCACAACAGAATGGTATTGTAGAACACATGAATAAAATGTTTTGTGTAAAACACGAAGCATGATGTCTTACTCAGGCTTAGGATAAGAATTTTGGGCAAAAGCTATGAACATTGCTTATTTCTTAGTTAATAGATCTTCATCCACAACTATTGAATGTAAAACTCCTTTTGAGGTATGGTCTTGTTCACCTACTGAT